TTTTGTATCTTTAGTAGAGATGGGGTTTCACTATGTTGGCTAGGTTGGTCTTGAACTCCTGACTTCAGGTGATCTGCCCACCTCAGCCTCCCAAAGTGCTAGAATTACAAGTGTGAGTCACTATGCCCAGCCAGAAGTTGCTAGTCATTCTAAATTGGAAGCTTGATATAATATTTTGAATCAAGCATTTAAAAAAATGCCTGCTTTTCGTCAATGGTTTATTTTTACCCCTTTCATTCATTTAGGAAAGAGTTTTCCTCATTTTTGTTTTCCATGAATTTTTTTTAACAGCTGGCAAATCAGAGAAAATATTTATGTAACTTATAATAGGCATCTCAAATTATTTTGGAGCATTTGGGAATATATCTTCTGTAATGTTTTGCCTGTAATAATTGAATGGATATTCTCATTTGGTAATAACTTGGAAAATATAGAGTGGTCCATTTAAAATGTACTCTGCTTTAAAGGTACTGTTGGAGGCATTGGTGACCAGGCCATTTTTCCTTTTAAATAGAGAAAGTATGACAGAATCTATTTTCAAGAAACAGCCATAGCAGTATTTTTAGTCTCACGTGCTCGCACAAAATGTTTTCACTCTCCACCGACAGGTGGAATCTATTTCCACTCTCCTTGAACCTGGGCAGGCTTGTGACTGTTCCAACCAATTGAATATGGTAGAAATTATGTGATGTGATTTCTGAGGCTATGATATGATATAAATAGGATACAGCTGATCTAGCAGTCCCACTACTGAGTATCTACCCAAAGGAAAATAAATCAACATATTTGTTGCAGTACTATTCACAACAGCAAAGATATAGAATCAGCGTTGAATATCTATTAGTGGATGAATGGATAAAGAAATACAGTATATATATACAATGGAATATTGTTCAGCCATAAAAAAACACAAAATCATATCACTTGCAGCAACGTGGTTGGAACTGGCTGTCATTATCTTAAGTTAAATAAGCTAGGCACAAAAAGAAAACTATCATAAATTCTCACTTTTATGTGGGAGCTAAAAATTTGAACACATGGAGGTAGAGAGTGGAAAAATAGGTAATAGAGACTGGGAAGGGTGAGTGGGGGTTGAGGGAGGATGAAGAGAAGTAAGTTAAAGGGTACAAACATACATAAAGATAGGAGTAAATGCAATGTTGGATAGCAGAGCAGGATGACTATACTTAAAAAAATGTATTATACCTGGTGATGAACGTCCTGAAGACCCCAGCTTGATACTGTGCATTATATACATGTAACGTAATTCCTCAGGTACTCCTTAAATATGCACAACTAAAAAGAGGGAAAAAAAGATACTGCTTCTTCCTGGCTCTCTCTTTGTCTTTTGATGCTTGTTGTTGGAATTCAGTCATATGAAGAGGCCACATGTAGATATTCTCATCAAAAACTGGAGCTAAACTGCAGCCAGCAGCTAGTATTAACCATGATAAGAATGAGAGAGCTTTCAGGTAATTCCAGCCCCAGGCTGTCGAGTGTCCTGCTGAGGCCCCAGAAGTTGTGGAGCAGAGACAAGCCAGCCCTGCTGTGCCCTGTCTGAATGTATGGTCCACAGAACCTGTGATAGATAATAAATGTTTATTGTCTTAAACCACTAAGTTTTGGGGTAATTCGTTACATGGCAGTAGATAATTAATACATAGAATTTATAGAAACTTATAGGGAAATAAAGATTTGGACAAAGACATTTATATATATATGTATATATGACCCATATGGATCAGATGTGATCCGTATATATGATATGGGTCATATATATGTGTGTGTGTATATAAGTGTGTGTATGTATATATATGGATGTTCTCTGTAGTATGATTTATTTTTTCTTTTTTTAGAGGCAGGGTCTCACTCTGTCACCCAGACTGGAGTGCAGTGGCTCAGTCATAGCTCACTGGAGTCTTGAACTCCAGGGCTCAAGTGATCCTCCTGCCTCAGCCTTCCAAAGCACTGGGATTACAGGTGTGAGCTGCCATGCCTGGTCCTGCAGTATAATTTACAATTTTTGAAATAGTCTAGCTATGTAATAATAAGAAATTGTTTAAATAAATTATCATAAACACTATTTTCCTAAAGAAAAGTTGTCTACATTTTCTATATTCATAAACAAAGTTTAAAGAATTGGTATATAGTCAATTATATTATAATGATAAACCTAATTGAATTGTTTACATAGAGATGAGTAACAACAAAAAAGACTTTACATCTGATAAAAGGACATGTTCCCAGAACATAAAAGAACTTTCACCGATCAGTAAGAAAAGATATTAAATGTTTTAAATGGGCAAAAGAATTGAACAACCATGTCCCCATAGAAGATATTCAGATGGCCAGTAATAAAGTAGAAAGGTGCTCATCATCACTGCTCATCAGGGAAATGCAAAGTAGAAAACAAAGAGATACCAGTAGACACTGTAATGGAATAAAATTTAACAGATGAGTAATAGCGAGTGTTGGCAAGGATATGAAGTAACTGGAACCCTTACACCTTGATGTGAGGGTGAAATGGTATCACTTTGTGAACTGTTGGGTAAAACCAATGTCAACACCATAAACTTTCAGTCCCATTCCTGGTATATACCCAAGAGAAGAGTGCTTATGTCCACCAAAGCACGGGTAGAATTATATTCATAGCAACTGTATTTGTAATGGCTCAAACTGGAAAGCTGTTCTAGTTATACATTTTGCTGCCCTTACCTTTATTCATGCAGTAGTGCTTAGCATATAGCTGTGTTTAGTTTCATATGTGGTGTTAATGAACATTTATTTAGGGAATCTCACCTCCCAATTTTTCAAATTTAAACTGATTTCAAATTTCTTTAAACCTTTCTCTTTAAGTCACCTTGGTTTCGGAAGACTAAAAGAAAGAGCTTATTGCACAGATGGCTCAAAGCACAAATTATAAAAAGGCTAACTTTTATCTACACCCAGCTCCAAATATTCCCAAGTATTTCTTTCCTCCTTGATAATTTTTTTTTTTTTTTTTTTTTTTTTTTTTTTTGCGAAGGAGTCTCACTCTGTCGCCCAGTCTGCAGTGATAGATATATATGGTCCCCTATTTTAAGGTAATACAGTCATGCATCTGAGAAATGTGTCATGAGATGATTTTGTCAGTGTGAGAACACCATGGAGTGTCCTTACCCAAACCTAGATGGTATAACTACTACACACCTAGGCTATGTAATATAGCCTATTGCTCCTAGGCCACAAACCTGTAGAGCAGGTTACTGCACTGAATACTGTAGGCAGTTATAATACAATGGTAAGTATTTGAGTATCTAAACATATGGAAGATACAGTAGAAACACAGTATAAAAGATAAAAACTGATGCCCCTGTGTAGGGCACTTAACCGTAAGTGGAGGCTTACAGGACTGGAAGTTGCCCTGGGTGAGTTGGGGGTGAGTGATGAGTGAATGTGAGGGCCTAGGACATTAATATATACTACTGTAGACTTTATAAACTTTATAAACACTGAACACTTAGGCTACACTAAATTTATTTATTTTTTTAAATTTCTTGGCTGTGCATGGTGACTCATACCTGTAATCCCAGCACTTTGGGAGGCTGAGGTGGGCAGATCACTTGAGCCTAGGAGTTCAAGACCAGCCTTGGTAGCATGGTAAAACCTCATCTCTACAAAAAATACAAAAATTAGCCAGGCATGGTGGTGCACACCTGTAGTCTCAGTTACTTGGGAGGCTGAGATGGGAGGATCACTTGAACCTAGGAGGTTGAGGCTGCAGTGAGCCCTGTTAGTACCACTGTACTCCTGCCTGGGCAATAGAGCAAGATCCTGTCTCAAAAACAAAAACAAATTTCTTTCTTCAATAATAAATTAGCCTTAGCTTACTAGAATGTTTTTACATTATAAACTTTTCAATTTTTAAAAACTTTTGGACTTTTTTGTAATAACACTTAGCTATATAAGCTATAGAAAATAATTTTTCTTTTTATCTTTATAGGCTTTTTCTATTTAAAAAAGTTAAAAAATTTTTTTAACTTAAAAAAGAGGCCAGGTGTGGTGGCTCATGCCTGTAATCCGAGCACTTTGGGAGGCTGAGGTGGGTGGATCACCTGAGGTCAGGAGTTCGAGACCAGCCTGGCCAACATGGTAAAACTCTCTCTTAAAAAAGAAAAGTAAGATTTTTGGTAAAAATGAACACACACACATACACACACACACACACACACACACACACACACACACACACACAAACTCACTGAGCACCTAGGCCTACACAGGGTCAGGATCATGAATATCCCTGGCTTCTCCCTCTGTATCTTGTTTCACTGGAACACCTTGAGGGGCAGTAGCAGGCATGGAACTGTCATCTTCTAGGATACTTCTTCTGGAAGCCCTACTGAAGGACCTGCCTGAGGCTCTTGAGACAATGTCACACTTTTCAGAAATATGCCCATGGTGTTTGTTTGGTTTATTTCTATTTTTTTTTATTATAGACTTGTTCGTAAGCAGTTAATGCAGCGTGAACAGTCCTGTGTATTAATGAAAACCTTTCTGTTTAGGGGTTCATGTTTTCATACTTCTTAAGGAGCTTGTTGAGGTCTGCAGAAGCTTCTGTCAGATCCTTCACTGTGAGTTTTCTTAGGGCTTCTTTTTCTTCTCCAGCAAACTGCCTTCTCTCTCTTGCTACTTCTTCAGCTATGCATTCCTATTCCAGTTCCAACTTATCAGTCAATTCCTGAGATGTTATTGTGGCTATAACATCACTAGGAGATTGGAGTTTTTCAACTCCATTTAACTATGGTCCATTTTTGACCAGAATATCATTATGTGACACACAACCTTATTTAGTTATTTTACTGGTTAGGTAGCTCTATCATTTTTTCTGTGAAATTTAAGTAGTTAAAATGAGTCAAGTGGTAGCTAAAAGCATGACAAAACTTACAACAGAACTTTCTTTACTTGGAAATGATACAATATGGTATGGCTAGATCAAGTCTTTTAAAAATACTCATAGATTTCAACTTGGTTCTTAAGCTTGGTTCCATAAAGCTGGCAGTGCAACCATTGGACATATATCAGAAATTCAATTGAGCACCTCCTTTTAAATATATGGTTTGTAGACTTGTGGCTCTTAGATCCCAGGGGGTCTAAAGTAGACCGTGTTACAAACTAGGCACATAACAAGACAACAGCCATTTTTTTTTTTTTTGAGGTGGAGTTTCTTTCTTGTTGCCTGGGCTACAGTGGAATGTCGCAATCTCAGCTTACTACAACCTCTGCCTCCTGGATTCAAGTGATTCTCCTGCCTCAGCCTCCCGAGTAGCTGAGATTACAGGCATTTGCCACCATGCCCGGCTAATTTTTTTTTTTTTTCCTGAGATGGAGGCTTGCTCTGTCATCTAGGCTGGAGTGCAGTGGCATGATTTCAGCTCACTGCAACGTCTGCCTCTCAGGTTCAGACAATTTTCCTGCCTTAGCTTCCTGAGTAGCTGGGATTACAGTTGTCCACCCTTACGCCTGGCTAATTTTTTGTTTTTTTAAATAGAGACGGGGTTTCTCCATGTTGGTCAGGCTGGTCTCAAACTCCCGACGTCAGTTGATCTGCCTGCCTTGGCCTCCCAAAGTGCTGGGATCACAGGTGGGAGCCACCATGCCCAGCCAACAGCAGCCAATTTAAAAATGTCAAAGTGTTTTTCTATTGAAGTGGCTAATTCTCCATGATATTATTTATATAAACTTTGTACCCAATGTAAACTGAAGGTAGTGGTTAGCATTTCCAGATTAGAAAACATAACTGGATTTCCCTTATCCATTCTTTTATGCTCTGTTACTACAGCAAATTATTCTTAGATATAGCTCCATTCTGTTAGTAGTTTTCTTATTACTATCAGTAACAAAGTACATTAAGCTACTGCTTTCTGTTTTGTTTTGTTTTAAGACTGTGTCTTGCTGTGTTGCCCAGGCTGGAGTGTAGTCATGGGATCTTGGCTCACTGCAACCTCTGTCTCCTGTATTCAAGCGATTCTCCTGCCCCAACCTCCCGAGTAGCTGGGATTACAGGTGCCTGCCACCACACCTGGCTAATTTTTGTATCTTTAGTAGAGATGGAGTTTCCCCATGTTGGTTGGTCTTGAACTTCTGACCTCAAGTGATCTGCCCACCTCAGCCTCCCAAAGTACTGGGATTATAGGCATGAGCCACCATACCTGGCCTAAGCCTTTTAAGAATAAAGCATATATACATGATTCCCCTCTTCAGGAACTACAGTGAGACTTCTATTTTATTTTATTTTTTGGAGGTGAAGTTTCACTCTTGTTGCCTAGGCTAGAGTGCAGTGGCACAATCTCATCTCACTGCAGCCTCCACCTCCAGGGTTCAAGTGAGTCTCCTCCTGAGTAGCTGGGATTACAGGTGTGCACCACCACGCATGACTAATTTTTGTATTTTTAGTAGAGATAGGGTTTCACTTTGTTGGCCAGGCTGGTCTTGAACTCGGTGATCCACTTGCCTCAGTCTCCCAAAGTGCTGGGATTATAAGCATGAGCCATTGCACCCAGCCGAGACTTCTAAAACATAGGTTTGATTAGGTCGTTGTATGGAAGAAATAAATGCCATTTTAGTATTGTGATTACTTCTCTTTCGCCTTCTTTAACCACAGTTTCATTTTTAACATATTTTCCACAGAAGAACAAAGATCTTTTTATCATCTGGTGCCTTGTCTCATTTATAACTTGTTCCCTGAATCAGCTTCAGGTCTTTCATGTTTATATATGAAACATTATAGAGCTGTGCATGGTGGCTCATGCCTGTGATTCCAACACTTTGGGAGGCCAAGTGGGTGGATTACTTGAGGTTAGGAGTTTGAGACCAGCCTGACCAAATGACGAAACTCTGTGTCTACTAAAAATACAAAAATTAGCTAGGTGTGGTGACATGCACCTTGTACTCCCAGCTACTCGGGAGGCTGAAACAGGAGAATTGCTTAAACAGAGGAGGCGGAGGTTGCAATGAGCCAAGATCATGTCACTGCACTCCAGCCTAGGCAACAGAGTGAGTCTCAAAAAACACAAAAATCAAACGACAACAACAAAAATTATACTTTATGCACACACAAATCTTTAAAATGCCTTTGTGACATTTTTATACTTAGAATTGGTTATTTATTTAGTATCTTGGGATTTTTTTCCCACATAGTACTGGTGCTATGGATGTGAAATCATGGTGATTTATTAGTTTTAATTTATCATGTAAAGGAAGTGTGTTCTGTTTGTTCTCTATAGATTTAAATATTCTAAATTATTATAATTATATATTTGTTTTGTAGCTGTCCCCTTTCCTCCTACCCAACGGCTTACTTTCAAGGAAGTATTTGAGAATGGGAAACCTAAAATTGATGTTTTGAAAAACCATTTGGTAAAGGAAGGCCGACTGGAAGAGGAAGTAGCCTTAAAAATAATCAATGATGGGGCTGCCATCCTGAGGCAAGAGAAGACTATGATAGAAGTAGATGCTCCAATCACAGGTATAAAAAGTATTTGCATGATACTGTTTATAATTTAGATTTACATAAGCAGTTTTGAGAAATAGTTACAAATAACCAGATAAAAAGTGGTATGATAATTTTTCTAGAAATTATGAGACTGTCAGGATTGGTTAGGATATTTGTTGCTAATTGAAGAAATACAATTTTAACTGCCTCATATTTCCAATAGAACTATTTAGTACGAATAGATTGAATACAGTTATACAGCAGTCCTGTCAAAAGCTAGAGTGATTTAAATTAGAAGTTAAACTATGATCCTTTTAGTGTAATGCCTTTTTTCTTTTAAGATATAATTTCTCATCTCACCTTATAACTTTTTTTCCTAGTGTGTGGTGATATTCATGGACAATTCTTTGACCTAATGAAGTTATTTGAAGTTGGAGGATCACCTAGTAACACACGCTACCTCTTTCTGGGTGACTATGTGGACAGAGGCTATTTCAGTATAGAGGTAAAAATTAAACTGGATATGTTGGGACTATTATATTGTCTTTTTAAAAAAAGAAGATTTCCATTCTTCAGTAGAAGAAATTAAAATTAGAACTCTGGCAGAATTTATGAACTTTGTTACTTTCAAAATTAAAGTCGTAGAAATGTTTTCATTGATATAAGTTATTTCTTTTCTTAAACCAGTAGAAAATCTGATAAATAGGCTATATATTAATATTAACCCAACTGTACTAATAGTTAAATGTTTACTAACTTTTCCTCTTTGAAGATAGTGTACAGGCTGTATAAAAATGACACAAATTGCTGTTCACTCTAAATGGGGTTTATATTAACTGACCTTAATTATAAGACCATAACTTCCTGAGCTACAATTAACACTTAGATTAACTGCCAGTGCTAAATAAGCACTAAGCTCATTGTAGGAATAACTTCTGATACTGTGACACATAGAAAGCACTTAATAAATGTTCATTGAAGGGGGAAAATGAATTGTAGTCAATGAAAACTTATACTTTCCTTTTATATATTTTGAAAATGGAAAGGTAGGAGCATGGTTAGAATGAAATAGAAGTTTTTATGTGTAAAAGATAAAACTACTTTTGAACTTTATGCAAGAACTTGAGTACCAAGGACTCGAGTGGAACCACAGCACATTCATACTTAATGTTCATTGATTCAAATCTACATGCTGGCAAGTAAAATAGAAAAAACTTTTGAAATAGTGTGGGTAATGGAATTTGTAATGTGCCCAAGAATAAGTGTGAGCTGAGAAATTGAGTCTGCTTTCTGTCTTTGCTGTCTATAGTTCTGCCTGCCCTCCTTGTGTGGGAATCTCACTGTACTAAGTGTGTTTCTGGTGGCGAAAGGTTTATTGTCATGCAGCCTCCCTCCTAAATGCAAGCTGGCCCTCTCACCTGATGCCCAAGCAAAGGAGCAGCAGTTGCTCTATAGCTGCAGGAAAAATAAGCAGCAAAATCGATTTTTAGTTTTCAGTTAGATAGGCAGTCTAAATTCATGAATCAGAAAAGTTAAGTGTTAACTGCCAGTGTGCAAAATTCATTTAGTGTCAAATGTGAAGACAAAAGTTAAAGGTATAAACTGAGAAAATGGTAATGCCCATTTTTCCTGCTGCATGGTAGATGCCCAAGATCAGTAGGTACCAGGAATAGATGGAGATCATGCTTGTCGACTGTATCATTGAAGAGCTTCCCTGTTGCCATTCACATCGTGTATGTTTCAGTAGACCGTAAGTCAAATGTATGGATGTGGGGCCGAGCAAGGTGGCTCATGCCTGTAATCCCAGCACTTTGGGAGGCCAAGGTGGGTGGACCACTTGAGGTCAGGAGTTTGACACCAGCCTGGCCAGCATGGTCAGGAGTTTGAGACCAGCCTGGCCATCTCTACTAAAAATACAAAAATTTGCTGGGTATGGTGGTGGGCACCTGTAATCCCAGCTACTTGGGAGGCTGAGTCAGGAGAATTGCTTGAACCCAGGAGGCGGAAGTTGCAGTGAGCTGAGATTGTGCCACTGTACTCCACCCTGGGTGATAGAGCGAGACTTTGTCTCAAAAAATAAAAAGTATGGATATTAGAAAGACACATTGAGTGTTTATTTCTTTGTATATTTGCTAGCATGAGGAAGTTTTAGAGGGTAAAGATTAGAAGAATATAAAACTTAACTGAGTTTCTAATTAGCCATTTTATTTTATTTTATTTTTCAGAGATGGGGTCTTGCTATGTTGCTTAGGCTGGAGTGCAGTGGCTGTACACAGGTGTAATCGTTTTGTACCTCAGCCTCCAACTCCTGAATTCAAGCCATCCTCCTGCCTCAGTTTCCTGAGTGTCTGGGAAACTCTGCACTCTGGTGCACCACTGTGCCTGGCTAGTCATTTTATTTCATAAAACAGCTTTTTAATGATAAATTATTATGCCAAATTATCTTCTGATTAACGTATATAACAAAATAGCTTTACAATAGTTTTAATTCACTAATACTATTAATAAAGCACATATAAAATGTCAACAATTATTTTGTGCACATAAACCACAGAATATTTTGTGTTATGCATTTTTTCTCACTCATCAATAAAGTTTCCTGAGTGCCAACTTTATGGAAGGTTATGATAATAAATAAAGAATAAGATTTATGCTCTCTGTAAGAGCTACTAGTCTAATAGAAAAGATACACTTGTGAATAGACCTTTCAGTATGTGCTTCTTGAATTAACAGTGTTCTTCATATTAGGACCAGTGTGCTTCATATTAGCACAGTGCCTGATACATAGTAGACACGCAGTTAACATTTGTTGAATGAATGAATGTTAATAAATCATAGTTTGTATCTAGCTTTATCCTGTTAATTGGATGTTTGCTAACTTAAAGGAGTTTTCTGCAATAACTTCATAGATAAGTGAATCAAAACTTTAAGGTGACAATGAAATTTTATACCAGTGTTAAAACTGAACTATGAGATATATCTAGTGTTCATTGGAAGTCACTTATATATAAATCACTAAGATAATGCACTTCTATAGGCTATAGTTTAGTCTAACATGTTACATGTATATACTTGAAAACTAATTTTTTTTTGCCATAGTTCCTCATAAAACTTTATACCAAAAAAAGAAAAGAGAAATAATTTTTTAATCAATATTCTTGATAACTATGAGTGTGATGTTTTTGTTTAATAGATGAAAATAAGGTCATAGAATCCTTATTAAAATTTTTTGTTAAAGTTTAGTTTTTTGTTTTTTTGTTTTGTTTTGTTTTGTTTGAGAGTCTTGCTCTGATGCCAGGCTGGAGTACAATGGTGCAATCTCGGCTCACTGCAACCTCTGCCTCCCAGGTTTAAGCTATTCCCCTGTCTCAGCCTCCTGGGTAGCTGGGACTACAAGCGTGTGCCACCACACCTGGCTGATTTTTTGTATTTTAGTAGAGACGGAGTTTCACCATGTTGGCCAGGCTGGTCTCAATCTCCTAACCTTGTGATCCACCACCTCTGCCTTCCAAAGTGCTGGGAATATAGGCATGAGCCACCACACCCTGCCATAAATAGTTTAATTTTTAATAGAAAAATTGGGAAATGCAGCATATAGAAAACAAAAACTTTTTAGAAATCAGAGATAATCACTGTTAGTGTTTTATTATATTTTCTTGCAGTCTTTTTTCTTCTTTTATATTTGTGTATATATATATATGAACATTGAGAACATTTTATATGCTCTTTTTCTGATCTTCTTTTTCCACTCAGGATTGTGGGGAAAGCATTTTTCTCTATTGTTAAGATTTCTCCAGAAGTGTAGTGTCAAAGTCAAATAAAAGAGACAAATCTCTGAAATTAAAACATTTTATCTGGGAAGAAAAAAGTGCAGTTTTGGGCATACATACAGACTGCTCGGTCTTTGAAGAAAAGAGAAAGTTAGGTTTTATGAAAAAGGAAAATGTTATATATTGTTCTTTGAGAAAGTTCATTGACACTAGCAAGGTTCTTGAGAGCTGGCAAGTTTTACTTAATCTCAGTAATTAGTAGTTTCATGAGTCCATCAGTTTGTTTATTAGAGTTGTAGAAATTTTTATTTAGCCTATTGCTCTTAATGTTATCAGCAACCTCTATGTAAGAGTATTTGTTGAAATCTTTCCGTGAATCTGATTGTGTGGTTTTTAGAGACAAAACAATACCTGTGGATGAGAAAAGCTTAGAATAGTCATGGTTAAAATCTGATGACAATTGGTAAGGAATTTTGTTATTTCTATTACAGATAGCATTTTAGGATACAATAACCAGAATTAACTGAAAACATAATAGATTTTAATGAATTATACAATTTTTGAAACATTTATATTAACAACATACCCATAAATGCAACTAAAAGAAGATCTAGTATCACTTATGATTTAAGAGTTTCTTACATAATTTACTAAATAAGCCTAATCATTTCATAGCTGTGTAAGATGAGAGATATAGATCTTTTGAAGCTTTCCAGGGGCTGAACTGGAAAATCCCAAAGTTAATTTAATTTTATTTTTTTGAGATGAAGTGTTGCTCTGTCACCCAGGCTGGAGTACAGTGGCATGATCTCAGTCTACTGCAACCTCCGACTCCCAGGTTCAAGTGATTCTCCTGCCTCAGCCTCCGGAGTAGCTGGGATTACAGCTGCCTGCCACCATGCCCAGCTAATATTTATTTTTTTAATAGAGATGGGGTTTTACCATGTTAGCCAGGCTGGTCTTGAACTCCTGACCTCAGGTGATCCACCTGCCTCAGCCTCCCAAAGTGCTGAGATTACAGGTATGAGCTGCTGTGCCCAGCCCCAAAGTTATTTTAGGTCAAAAAGACTTACTTGAGGCTGGTCACAGTGGCTTAAGCCTGTAATCCCAGTGCTTTGGGAGGCCTAGATTGGAGGTTCACCTGAGTCCAGGAGTTCAAGACCAGCCTAAGCAAAACCTTGACTTTATAAAATTAAGAACCAAAAGAAGACTTAATCGAGGATTTGATTTTGGGGACATTTGTCAAAGTTGTCAAAAGGCTCAGAACATCTGATCAAAACAGAATTACACAGGTCACTGTTAAACAGTAGTCATTTGGCTGGGCATGGTGTATCTGAATGTAGCAATTCAGATACATCAAGAAAAACTGGGAATTACGCTGGAGAAAAACATTGCTTTTCTAGGCTTTCCCCCCAACCCCAAGACGGAGTCTTGCTCTGTCACCCAGGCTGGAGTGCAGTAGTGTGATCTCAGCTCACTGCAACCTCTACCTCCCGGGATGAAGCGATTCTCCTGCTTTAGGCTCCCAAGTAGCTGGAATTACAGACACCTGCTACCATGACTGGCTAATTTTTGTACTTTTAGTATAGACGGGTTTCACCATGTTGGCCAGGGTGGTCTTGAACTCCTGACTTTGTGATCTGCCCACCTCAGCCCTCCCAAAGTGCTGGAATTACAGGTGTGAGCCACTGCACCTGGCCGCTTTTCTAGGGTTTTGAGGTAAACCTCTCAGTGT